GTGTAAAATGGGGAACTGTGTAAACGCTTTTGCAAAATCCAAGTATACCGCATCCACTGCCACCCCTCTGTCCAAAGTTTTGCGCACCCCCTCATAAAAAGAAATCAGATTTGTTTGACAACTTCTGTCTTTCATGAACCCATGCTGTCTGTTGCTTAAAATATTTTTTTCCAGCAAAAACTCATCTATGTGGTCTTTTATTAAACGATCCAGTATCTTCCGAACTATAGAAGTTAAACTAACAGGTCTATAATTACTTGGTAAAGATTTTGACCCCTTTTTAAATATTGGCACCACATTGGCCTTACACCAATCCATTGGTACTATGCCAGTCATTAAAGAGTCCCTAGAAATTTTAAATGACAGAGCTCAATTCTTTAAGGACCCGTGGGTGTATGCCATCCAGTCCAGGTGCTTTATTCACCTTTATTCTGTCTAAATATTTTTGGATCATATCAATTGTGAGCCAATGTGGATCATCTGGAGCTGTATCAATACCATGCCCATTATGGACAAGAGCTCCCCCATGCTCCTTTGTATACACAGAGCTGAAGAAGGTATTTAATAAATTTGCCTTCTCTTTGTCCCCAGTCACCCACTCTAGATTATTTTGTAAAGGGCCTACATGCTCGAACCGAACCTTTTTACTATTAATATATTTGAAGAATTTTTTGGGGTTGGTCCTGCTATCTTTTGCAATCAGTCATTCGTTTTCAATGTTTGCGGCCTTTATTTCCTTTTTGCATATTCTGTTATATTCTTTGTAATGTTTAAATGATGATAATGTTCCTTCATTTTTATATTGAATAAAAGCTCTTTTCTTATTATCTATAGCCTGTTTAACTTTGGTCGTAAGCCACATAGGTTTGATTTTTAGCCTTTTAAACTTGTTGCCCAAGGGAAAATATTTTGCAGTGAGTTCATATACAGTCTTTTTGAAGAACTCCCATTTCTGTGTTGTGTTCATCAATGCCAATATTCCCTCCCAGTCTAAGTCTTGGAGAGCAGCTCTCAGCCTTGGAAAATTAGCTCTCTTGAAATTGAGCGTTTTTATTTTTCCCGTATGTGCTTGCTGTTTACAGCTAACAATAAATGAAATCATGTTATGGTCACTGCTACCCAGATGTTCTTTTATATGGACATTCGTAATAAACTCTGCATGGTTTGAGATTACCAGGTCCAGCAAAGCATCATTCCTAGTAGGGGCCCTTATGAACTGTACCATAAAATTGTCCTGTAGTAGGTTTAAAAGTTTTTGCCCTTTAACTGTTCCTGCAGTACCAATACTCCAGTCAATTTCCGGGTAGTTAAAATCCCCCATTATTATCACTGTCCCAGCCCTTGCAGCCCTTTCTATCTGTGCAAGGAGCTGAGTTTCCACCTCCTCATTAGCACTGGGAGGCTTATAACAAACTCCAATGCTTACCTTTGTAGTATGCACCCCCAAGTGCAGTTCCACCCATAATGCTTCAGCCTCATCACACTCTCCATCAATTAGGTCCTCTTTCACACTCGCTCTGAGATCACTTCTCACATAGAGACAGACACCACCACCTTTCCTATTTACTCTGTCTCTCCGAAAGAGAACATAGCCAGGAATATTACTGGCCCAGTAATGCAAAGAATGAAGCCAAGATTCAGCAATACCAATTAAATCATAGTTCTCTTCATGCAACAAAGCTTCCAACTCATCTATTTTGCTTGGCAGACTTCTGGCATTGGTGAGCAAACACTTTAATCGATTGACACTTTGTTCACATGTATTTGCATATTTTATATTTTCATACAAATGGTACCAATTCCACTGGTTGTTTGTAATATGGATTCCACTGGTTGTTTGTAACATGGAAATCCGTGCAGCTGCACTACCCACACAGAGGACTGCGGACCTGCGGGCGGGTACCATTAGTTCTACCCATGTGAATCCAATTTAGTGCGAAATGCATTAAACACCCAGCTGTTAGAATACCTTTTGCTCGGACTGTCACATTGGTTCCTAGCTTGTTTTATGAATCTTGGTTTGTTGTGACTATACATTTTTTGTAATTTTCAAATAAATTCCTTTTTATCACGGTAATGCATGAGGAGAGTGTGCCCCTTCTTTGCTTTCTTCCATGACACACAAGCACCTGGGACTTACATGGGAGAAGGGCCAGCTATAAAAAGTAGTTCCTTCCGTGCGCCACTCTGCAATGTGGGAGAAGCAGTCTGGGGGTTGGCAAAGCAGGATCACTGTTCTACTCATCACCTGCCCACGATCAATGGGTAGATCGCAATCAATGGGTTGCTGACCCTCGGCTTAGACCATGAGGTGTAGTACAGAAAAAAAAAAAGTTTAGGTGTTGTGGCCCTAGTGCAGTTTCAAACAGTGGGTCCCAAAATTTGTAGTTACATAGGTTGAAAAAAGACACTAGTTCATCTAGTTCAACTAATAGAAAAAAAAAACATAAATAAAAACCTAATAGAAATACACTATCCTTTATCCAGAAGAAGACAAAAAAAAACAATGACTCGTGATCCAATTCACTCCAGTGGGGGGAAGAAAATCCTTCCTGATCCCCACTGAAGCAATTGGATATTCCCTGGATCAACTACCTCTAGTGTTATTTTTATAAATGTTAGCAACCAATTATATATTGTACATTTAGGAATCCATCCAGCTCTTTTTTAAAACAATCTACTGAGACGGCCAGAACTAGTTTCGAGGGAGTCTATTATACACTTTTACAACTCTTACTGTGAAAAAGCCTTTCTGTATGTGAAGGTTAAATCTCGTCTCCTCCAAATGTAAAGAGTGACCTCTGGTCCTCTGTAGTGACCTGAAAGTGACCTTTTTTAACTGAGGAAGCTGCCATCTTAGCCTCTGTTTGATCTGCAACTGCCATGATGCTGCACATGTGATCAGTTAAGGCACCAGCTATTTGATGGTTTGACAGTTTGGTTGAGGGCTAGGTCACACTAGATGCAGTTCAGTGCACTTTTTTTCTGCATCAAAAATGCATGCACAATGTTTTCCATGTATTCCAATGGTCCTATTTCACACCAGTGCAGTTCGTTTCAATGTCCGGTGCAGAAAAAAAAGTAGAACATGCTGCATTTTTTTTCTGCATAGAACCATACTGGAACATAGCAAACTGCATCAAAGCTGCGCTGTAACTGAGTGCAGTGTGAACCGTAAGCAAAAACGTATCCGGAATATATCTGGAGTGTGTTTTTGTAGTGTGAACTGGCCCTGAGAGCCCAAGCAAATGTGACAGGTTCATTCCTGGCATGTCCTGGGAATGTAATGGTTTTTGAAACTGGTAAATTGATGGGTTTAGTTCCTCTTGAAAGTGGAGCTCTGGTGATCAGGTTGAAAAAAAATAAGTCAGCAGCTACAAAAACTGTAGCTGCTGAGTTTAACCACTTGCCGACCGCAGATAGCACAATTACGGCTTCACTGCGTCCGGCCAGTTCTGGGAGGGAGTCATAAGACGTCCTCCCAGAACACACCCTCCCATCCTACGGGACACAGCTGACCACGTGATGTGGTAAAAGGCCAATCACAGCGGCCTTTTACCACGTGATCAGCCGTGTCCAACAAGAAAGCAGATCACTGGTAAATGCAGTTGCCAGTTATTGGCTGCACTTTCCTCACACTGTCACAGCGTTTAACTGGCAATTGTCAGAGGAGGGATCGGCAATGATGATCAGGGCACTGATGATCAGTGCCCAGCAGTGCCACCCACCAGTGCCGCCCATCTGTGCCCAGCAGTGCCGCCCACAAGTGCCCAGCAGTGCCACCCACCTCTGCCCAGCAGTGCCACCATCAGTGCCCAGCAGTGCCGCCCAGCAATACCACCCATCAGTGCCCAGCAGTGCCGCCAGTCAGTGCCCAGGAGTGCTGTCAGTCAGTGCCACTCATCAGTGCCAGCTCATCAGTGCTGCCTATCAGTTCCACCTATTAGTGCCCACCAGTGCCGCCTATCAGTGCGTCATTGTTGAATATCAGTGCAAGTTCATCAGTGCCACCTATCAGTACCCGTCAGTGCTGCCTATCTGTGCCCATCAGTGCTGCCTATCAGTGTGGCCTCATCATCGTATATCAGTGAAGGAGAAAAATTATCAGTTTGCTAAATTTTATAATAGAAACATAGAAAAAATTTTTTTTCAAATGTTTTGCTCTTTTTTTGTTTATAGTGCAAAAAATAAATACTCAGCACCAAGTACATACCACCAAAAGAAAGCTCTATTTGTGTGAAAAAAAATGATAAAAATTTCATATGGGTACAGTGTTGCATGACCACGCAATTGCCACTCAAAGTGCGACAGCACTGAAAGCTGAAAATTGGCCTGGGCAGGAAGGGGGTATAAGTGCCCAGGAGGCAAGTGGTTAAAGAACAGCCACTCACTTGTCCCTCGATCCAGTGGTGTGCTCACCACAGCTGGGTTCACCGGCTGTCCTCTGCCCCCGGCGTCTTAACTGTGGGCATGGGCGAGCAGCACCGCATTGTGAAGGTCTTCTGAGACCTATCATGTGTACCAGAAGACTGCGGGACCGTTAAAACAATTCGCTTTAAGTTTTATTAAATTTGTGACTTTTTTATAATCACGCCTGGCTTCCTTTGGACCTTCTGGCACAGGAAAATATTCACCACCTGAATAGCTGGGACTTGGCACTCCTTTTTAGGTTTTCATATGGTAACTCATAACTTCTGAAACTATAGTTTTATTTTTATTAAGTACCTAAAGCTAACTATGTTTATGTCAGTACTGCAAAGCAAGAACATGCAAAAACATTTTTCTAGCTGCTAGTTGCTGCAATATTATCTTAGTAAGATAACTGTACTTAGATCAATAAAGTTTTCACATTCAAACAAGCCTCCTGTGTGCGCTTCTCCTTTCCCTCCTGTTGTGTACCGGAGGGCGGAAGTGACGTAGGCTTTCCCGCTTGGCTTCCATCTCGGTCGCGAGCTCGCGACGTTCCCGAGTCTGGCTCGCACGGCTACCCGAGGCAGATGATGGCGGACGGAGTGGATCATATAGATATATACGCGGACGTAGGCGAAGAGTTCAACCAGGTATCGGTGTGCTTACAGCATGGCCTGGCTCTGGTTCCCGCCTCCATGGGCAGGGGAGGGAATATGTGCCGGGCAGCGGGGCTTGTTGTGGTTCGGGGCGGTCACTGTGTGGGACTCATTTCTCTATCTGGGAGCGCAGTAGCGGCTCAGCACCGTGACGGCGAGAGCGGAGTAAGTCGGGGCTCGGCGCTCCCTTTGTGTAGGCCGCGTGTGGAGCAGGCCGCAATCCTCGGCTCCGCCCCCTCCGCTCTACAGCCGGCCCCATATAAACAAAAACATCGAGCTGCCTCTAGTATACAGGGATCTCCTGGGCACTCTCGCTCTACAAGGCCCATGGGGGGATCTGAGGAACGTGCACGGTGTGGTTATTATAAGCGCCTGTTTCTTACAGTGCAGATCAAACATTTACAGATGTATCCTAAGTAATGCAGTGGGTTCCACTAGTAGAACATGACTAGCTCTTTATGTAGTTGAGATGATTGGTGAGCCCTTAGGAATGATACACCAATGGCTTTTATCACATGAACACATTTTTAAAGTATATCTAAAGCAAAACTCTTCTCTCTTTCATTTATATAAACAGAGGGAGATTTCTAATCTGTCAGTTTTTTTTTTTTTTTTTTTTTGCTGTGTCCCAGTAGGGGAGATTTTCCATTAGTTCCTGTCCTAAAGCCAAAACAGGAAGTGAGGAAATCCCTCCTAAAGTCAAGAAATGCCCTGTTGTCACTCGAACTAGTGTCTTCACTGGATTGTTTCCCCTCTATTCCTGTTCTGGGGACAACCCAAAATGTAGGGGTTTCTTTCAAGTGCTTGAAAGGGTTCTTTGTTTTTGTTTTTTTTTTTTCTTAACCACATGAAGGTTGCCTAACGTACATGTATGTCGTCAGTTTCAAGTGGTGTACAGCCATGGCTAAATGTTTTGAGAATGACACCAATATTAATTTTCACAAAGTCTGCTGCTTCAGTGTTTTTAAATCTTTTTGTCAGATGTTCGTATGGTATACTGAAGTATAATTCCAAGCATTTCATAAGTGTCAGAGGCTTTTTATTGATATTTAGATTAAACTCTTTCCTGCTGCCCTATTGCAGAAATACTGCTACAGAGTGGCAGGGGTGCGCAAAATCTCATATATATGTGATTTTGTATATCCGGGTCGGGGGCGCACATCCCTAGCTGCTCCGCCATTCACAGCCTCGGCTGTCAATCAACTGGTCCCGACTGGTGATTACTCGCTGGCACCCGCTGATCGCCGGGTATTAAGCACTACAGTTCTCTCCCGTCAGCTCCAGCTCACTGCTTTGTATGGCTCTGCATAGCAGAGCCATACAAAGCAGCATGCTTACAGTGGAAAGCAAAACTCATACAAATGAGTGCAGAGAGGCCACTCCAGGTGGAAACATGTGAACAGTTAATCATGAGCTCACCACTGCTGCCTTGTTAATCATTTGCATGATGAAGAGAACTGGAAAAAAAGGCGCTGTGGAAAATGCTCTCAGACAAGCACCTTAGTGAAGGTGCATCTTTATTGGGTGAGACAAAGTAGCAAATATAATAAAATTGACCAGCCAGAAGTGGACAGTGTGACTCCAATGGACGGCCCATCCGCTCTGAGGGGAGCTGAGATCAGAAAATGCTCATGTCGGCTTCAAATCACGTGGTGTCAGCGTACCGGCGTCCTGGGTGGTGTCACCATGGCAAGCGAAGGCAGTGTCCGGCGTTGGCTTCAGCTGTTTTTTTGAGACTTGACAAAGGCAACTGCGCGAAACATGTCGTCTTGGTAACCCTACATATGCTCCCAGCTGAAGTCAATGCCGGACAATGCCTTCGCTTGCCATGGTGACACCACCCAGGACGCTGGTACGCTGACACCACGTGATTTGAAGCCGACAGGAGCATTCTCTGATCTCAGCTCCCCTCAGAGCGGACGGGCCGTCCATTGGAGTCACACTGTCCACTTCAGGCTGGTCAATTTTATTGTATTTGCTACTTTCTCTCACCCAGTAAAGATGCACCTTCACTAAGGTGCTTGTCTGAGAGCATTTTCCACAGCGCCTTTTTTTCCAGTTCTCTTTACAGTGGAAAGCAGAGACACTGCCTCATAGTAAAACACACACCGCACACAGTTCATCCTTTGATCACCACAGATGTTAACCCCTGCCTGCCCAGTGCAATTAGTACAGTGTCGTGCTTTTTAATAGCACTGATCACTGTATTGGTGTCACGGGAGATGTCAGTGACAACAAGTCAGTTCCTCCAGTGTCAAAATGCCTGCCGTAGTCCTGCTATAAGTCGCTGATCGCTGCCAATACTAGTAAAAAAAAAAAATCCAGTACATATACTGCCATTTGTAAATGCTATAACTTTCATGTAAACCAATTAATTTACGCGGACTGGGGTTTTTCTTTGTTTGTTTTTTTTTACACCAAAGACATGTAGCAGAATACAATTTGCACTAAACTTATGACGAAATTTGATTTTTTTTTTTTTTTTTTATTTGACATGTTTAATAGCAACCCTGACATGCTCTCAATCAACGTCTGAGCCACATCCTGACTGATGGCAGCCCATTCTTACATAATCAATGCTTGGAGTTTGTCAGAATTTGTGGGGGGTTTTTGTTCACCCGCCCCCTTGAGGATTGACCACAAGTTCTCAATTGGATAATGGTCTTGTGGAGTTTCCTGGCCATGGACCCAAAATTTGGATGTTTTGTTCCCCAAGCCCCTTAGTTATCATTTTTTGCCTTATGGCAAGGTGCTCCATCATGCTGGAAAAGGCATTGTTCATCACCAAACTGTTCTTGGGTAGTTGGGAGAAATTGCTCTTGGAGGATGTTTTTGTACCATTCTTTATTCATGGCTGTGTTCTTAGGAAAAATTGTAAGTGAGCCTACAGCCTTGACTGAAAAGCAACCCACACATGAATGGCCTCATGATGCTTTACTGTTGGCATGACACAGGACTGATGGTAATGCTCACCTTTTCTTCTCCGGACAAGGTTTTTTTTTCCGGATGCCCCAAACAATCGGAAAGGGGATTCATCAGAGAAAATGACGTTAGTCCAATCCCTATACCTTCTGCAGAATATCACTCTGTCCCTGATGTTTTTCCTGGAGAGAAGTGGCTTTTTAGCTGTCCTTCTTGACACCAGGCCATCCTCCAAAAGTCTACGCCTCATTCTGCATGCAGATGCACTCACACCTGCTTGCTGCCATTCCTGAGCAAGCTGTGCACTAGTGGATCCCAATCCCGCAGCTGAATCAATTTTAGGAGACGGTTCTGGTGCTTGCTGGCCTTTCTTGGGCACCCTGAAGCCTTCTTCACAACAGTTGAACCTCTTTTTGAAGTTCTCGATGATTTGATAAATGGTTGATATAGGTGCAATATTAGTAGAAGCAGTAACCTTGTCTGTGAATCCCTTTTGTACAAAGTAGTGATGACTGCACGTTTACTTGCAGGTAACCATAGTTAACAGAGGAAGAACAATGATTTAAAGCACCACCCTCCTTTTATTTATTTCAGGTACTTCTATAGCGCCGTCAATTTATGCAGCTCTTTACATATATATTGTACATTCACATCAGTCCCTAACCCTCAAGAGGCTGAAAATCTAAGGTCCCTAACTCACATTCATACATACACATACTGGGGCCAATTTAGACAGGATCCAATTCACCTACCAGCATGTCTTTGGAGTGTGGGAGGAAACTGGAGTACCCGGAGGAAACCCACGCAGGCACATGGAGAACATGCAAACTCCAGGCAGGTGGTGCCGTGGTTGGGTCTCGAACCAATGACCCGAGTACTGCCAGGCGGAAGGGCTAACCATTTAGCCACTGCTGCCCATTTTAAAAAGCTTCCAGTCTGTTATTCTAACTCAATAACAGAGTGATCGCCAGCCTTGTCCTTTTCAACACTGACACATGTGTTAATAAGAGAATCCCTGACTTGATGTCAGCCGGTCCTTTTGTGGCAGGGCTTAAATGCTGTGGAAATGTTTTTTGGGATTGTTTCTTTTCATGGCAAATAGGGACTTTGCAATTATTGCAATTAGCCGCTGAATTGCTTTTACAGGTGGCGGGAGGGGTTGCCTCCCCCTGGTGCCTCTCTGGGTTCTCCCGTCCCACTAGTGAGCCCGGAATGCGACCGGAAGGTCCCCAATCATCTCTAGGGCATACCAAATTGGAAACAAGTATTTTGTCACGTCATTTTCACAGGATGTAAACCGTGCCATTTTTAGATTGGTAAAATATCTGACCACTCCGATCTTGGTGTGAACAGAAGCTTATAAGGGCAGGGGAGACATCTGGGTTCTAATAGACCCAGATATCTCAGTAGTAAAGAGTACTTGTCACTGCTTATTGTTATCACAGAGTATGTTTACATTTCATGTATTGACAATAAAAGTGATAAAAAAAATGTAGTGAGGCAGTAAAAAAATGAAGAAAAAAAAAATTTTAAATGGCCCCCATTCCACCATGATCGCGTGCAAAGGCATACGCAGGTCCTGCACACATACGTAAATGGAGATCACACCACACGTTATGTATTCCTGCAAACATCAGAGTGAGAGCAATTGTTTCTTGGACCAAACCTCCTGTGTAACTCTAAACTGGTAACCTGTAAAGCCTTTTAAAGTGTCGCTTATGGAAATTTTTAAATACCGTAATTTGGTGCCATTCCACGAGTGTGCGCAAATTTAAAGTGTGACATGTTGGGTATCTGTTTACTTGGCGTAACACAATCGTTTAGATTTTACAAAAAATGGGTATTATATTGGATTTGTGTGCATTAATATTCATTAGTGTTTTTTTTCTAAACAATTTGCGGTTGAAAAACCGCTGAGCATATATTGTGTTACATAAAAATCGCAAAACACACCATTTTATTCTCTAGGGCCTCTGCTAAAAAAAATATAATGTTTGGGGGAGGGAAGTCTATAATTTTTTTTTTTTTAGCAAAAATACTGATTTTAACATGTAAACAAAGTGTCAAAAGGCTGGTTTTAAAGTGGTTAAATAACAAACATGTTATACTTACTTGCTCTGTGCAATGTTTTTGCACAGAACAGCCCTGACCCTCCTCTTCTGGGGTCCTCTGCTGAAGTTCCTGGCTTTTCCTCCCTTCTGAGTGCCTCCATAGCAAGCCGCTTGCAGTGGGGGCACGCGTGTGGGCTTCACCCCGCCCAGCGCTCTCTCCTCACAGGCTATGATTGACAGCAGCAGGTGCCAGTGGATCCTGCTGCTGCCTCCATGGCCAGGGAAGATGGATGGCGTTGATTTGAGATCGTGCTCAGGTAATCAGGTAAGTATAAGGGGGAAGGGGGTGTGGATGCTGGGGAGTTAGTTTTTTACCTTAATGTAGACTGCATAAAGGTAGAAAAGCCTTCTACCTTTAGAACCACTTTAAAGCAGAGCTGTTGACTTTTCATATAAGGGCATTTACCTGTCCCGGGGGTCCAGCGATTTCCTCACTCCAGCCAATTCGTCAATCGGCTTCGGGTGCTGGCACTGGCATCTTCAGTAAGGGAAGCCAGAAGTGAAGCCTTGCAGCTTGACAGCCGGTTTCCTACTGCTCATGCTTGAGTCACACTGTGCCTTGAGATTGGTCCCGCAGTTTTCTAGGACCTGTGAAGTGTTCCAGAAGGCTGAAGGGGTTAGCAGTGGGGCAGGGGCTGAACTTGCGGCTCAGATTGTGGTGGCGCTCTAACCCGGAAGTGGGACCAGGTACCTGTAGGGAGCAGGGATCCACTTGCCCCCCCCCCCCCACCCCAAAAAAAAAAGTGGCAGGGGAGGAGGCAGACCAGCACAACTTCCCCTTTTGAGCGGAGTTCCACTTTAACTTTCGATGATATTGGTAAATATGACAAATAGGGTGAAACTTCCTTAAGGGGGCACAGACAGCAATGAAAACCTTACAGGTGCTCTAATTCCTCTCCACTCTATCCAAAACAAAGGATTAAAACCTTTGTGTTAAAACCCCCATCAATCTTTTGCCATGTGCGTTCTGCTAAAGAACTTCACCCTTGCAAAAATAATCTTTTTCCCTCACTTACCTTTTGCTGATTTTTTTGTGCTTTAAATATTTACTTGCAGATCCAGTGTTGTCCTGTTCTTTGCATAATTGTCCTGCTACACATCCTTTCTGGGGCTGCTATGTTCTTTATTTACATCACGGGGAGCAAACTTTATTCTCCTGGTTCTTATACACCCCCCTTCCCCAGTGACGCATTGTCAGATCTCACACAGTGCTAAATATTGCATTCTCTCTCACTTTCAGTCTGTGGCAATGGTAACATGACAGAGAGTGAATCTCCCCAGCAGGGACAAAGATGGCAATAAACACCAAATGGGGTTCATTCTTAACACCTCTATCCAAAACTAAAAAAAAAAAAGTTTTGACTTTAGTTATTAATTTACTCGGTATACTTTTTCAGCTTAAACTTTATTACCATTTTGGATTGAAGTGCTCTTAAACCACTCTAATTTTTTTTTTTTTTGCTGTGTTTTCTGCTGAGGATATTTCCTCTCGTGTGTCCTTTTTAAATGAGAAAATTACAAGTCCCATTTTCCATTGTTGCAGACGGCCTGTAGTGCTCAAAGGACCACAAGCGTGCTGATCATTGTCCATTCATACTGCCTACAACTCTGTAACAGCCCATATAGGTATAAGTAACAGAGCTGCAGGCAGTGTGTACAAGAGCCTGGCATTGCACCCACAATCCACTGGTCACTGGTGCAGTGCTCTGAAGGCTCTTGTGGAAAAAAAAATAAATGTAAATTTTTTTTTTTTCCTGCACAAATTATATGCATTTTCTTTTCTTCAAAAAGGTGAACTCCTTTAAGCCTTTAATGATGTTTGAACCATTTGCAAATTGAGGGTAGGATGGTGTAAATGCTGTATGTTTTGTTAAAGTAAACCTTTAATCCCTTGAAGACTAAGCCTATTCTTACACTTCTCTCCTACGTGTAAAAATCAGTATTTTTTTTTTTTTTTTGCTAGAAATTTACTTAGAATCCCCAAACATACACTATATTGCCAAATCATTAGATTCAGGTGTCCAGCCACCTCCATGGCCACAGGTGTATAAAGTCAAGAACCTAGGCATGCAGACTGCTTCTACAAACATTTGTGAAAGCTCAGTGAATTCAAGTATGGTACCGTGATAGGTTGCCACCCTGTGCAATAAGTCCAACAGTGAAAATTCCTTGCTAATAAATATTCCACAGTCAACTGTTAGTGGTATTATAGCATAGTGGACACAACTGGGAACAACATCAACTCAGCCACGAAGTGGTACGCCACGTAAAATGACAGAGCGGGGTCAGTGCATGATGAAGCGCACGGTGTGCAGAAGTCGCCAACTGTATGCCGAGTCAGTAGGTAAAGACCTCCAAACTTCATGTGGCCTTCAGATTAGCACAACAATAGTGCATAAAGAGCTTCATGGAATGGGTTTCCATGGCAGACCAGCTGCATCCAAGCCTTACATCACCAAGTGCAATGCACAGCGTCGGATGCAGTGGTGTAAAGCACGCTGCCAATGGACTCTGGATCGACTAATCACTCTTCTGCCTGGCAATTCGACGGGCGTTTCTGGGTTCGGCGGTTGCCAGGAGAACGGTACTTTTCTGCATTGTGCCAAGTATAAAGTTTGGTGGAGGGGGGATTATGGTGTGGGGTTGTTTTTCAGGTGCTGGGCTTGGCCCCTTAGTTCCAGTGGAGGGAATTCTTAAGGCGTCAGCATACCAAGACATTATGGACAGTTTAATGCTCCCAAATTTGTGGGAACAGTTTGGGATAGCCCCTTCGGTTCCAACATGACTGCGCACCAGTGCACAAAGCAAGGTCCATAAAGACATGGATGAGCGAGTTTGGTATGCAGGAAATTGACTGGCCTGCACAGAGTCCTGACCTCAATCTGACAACACCTTTGGGGTAAATTAGAGCAGAAACAGCGAGCCCAGGCCTTCTGGTCCGACATCAGTGCCTGACCTCACAAATGTGCTTCTGGAAGAATGGTAGTGGAGCATCGAAATTAAAATTCAAAATGCACTTGGCTGAAAACCGAAATGCACAGTTTTTAAAAATGAATATTTTTTTTTTGGAAAAAAAATACACTTTGATTAAAAAAAAAACAATGTATACCCCAATTTTTTTGTAAAATATAAAAGAGGATGTTATGGCGAGTAAATAGATACTCAATATGTCATGCTTTAAAATTGCACACGCTCGTGGAATGGCGTGAAACTACGGTACTTAAAAATCTCCATGGGTGATGCTGTAAACCTTTTCTACAGGTTAGCAGTGTAAAGTTACAGAGGAGGTTTAGTGTGAGAATTATTGCTCTTTCTCTGACGTTCATGGCGATATCTCACGTGTGGTTTGAACACCATTTACATATGTGAGCATGGCCTACGTGCGAGGATGGGGGCACTTTAAACTTTTTTTTTTTAAATTAATTTTTTTTTTTTTTTGCAGTGTCCCTTTTTAGAAAAAAAAAAAAATCCCTTTTCTTCTCATCACAAGAAATGCATGCATCCCTTGTGATAGAAATAATTAGTGACAGGTCCTCTTTATGGTGGGATATGGGGTCAATTACACCCCACATCTCTCCTCTGCAATGTAAAGCATTGGATCAAAAAAAAAAGCATTGATCTAGTGCTTTAAAAAAAAAAAAAAAAAAAAATGGCCAGAACCAGAAGTGACATCGCTCTGGTCCTCCAAGGGCATAGAGATGAGTGTAGGCCATCTTTCCTTTACTAATCTCTGCCCAGCGCCGGGATCGTTCGATGGTTTCTCAGGTAAGGCTGAGAACTACCAAGTGGTGGCAGCGGCGGTCGAGGGGCGGTGTTTTTTTTCGGCACCTGTATTGGTGCTTTTTTTTTTTTTTTTCTTCCGTCATTTCACCTGACTGCTTAAAGGGGAGTTTTTGGCCGAAACGGTTCAGCCACCGAAATCTCGGTGCATCCCTAAAGAATGGTCAAACATTCCCATAGACACACTCCTAAATCCTGTGGACAGCCTTCCCAGAAGAGTTGAAGCTGTTATAGCTGCAAAGGGTGGGCCAACTCAATACTGAACCTTACGGACTAAGATTAGGATGCCATTAAATGTCATGTGCATGTAGAGGCAGGCGTCCCAATACTTTTGGCAATATAATGCATATTTTTTTTTTTTAAAGCAGATATCCTGCAGAAGAAAATGGTTGGTATTGCAATTTGTCACACAGTATTTGCGCACAGCTGTTTTTCAAACGCAGTCTTTTGGGAAAAAAACACTTAGTGTTACTGAACCCAGAACCCTTCATTCTCTCTATCTAGTCTCCCACAGTACACAGAATATGAACGTGCAATTATTTTAGTAAATATAAACTGTTAAATACTTTCTCATCAGCGGTTAGAGGAGTCTTGTGACTTCTATCCGTGTCCAGCAGAGCACTGGTTAAAACTTGTAGGAATTTCAGTGCTCAAGAACAAAATCTAATAACAAGTTTTTGGTACAATATAAAAGATTGTTACTCCAAGTAAATAGATACCTAACCTGTCCTGATTTAAACTTGTGCACGGTTGTGGAATGGCTACAAACTGTGCAACCTAAAAAATCTCCATAGGTGACGCTTTAAAAGCCTTTAGAGGTTACTGGTTTAGAGTTACACAGGAGGTCTAGTTCGCAGCAATAGCTCACACGTGTGGTGCGATCGCTGTTCACTTATGCTTACGGGACTGATGCTTCGCTTGCCTTTGCAGGAGCACAAGTGACAAAATACTGTTTGGTTCTGGTTTCTTATACCATAGAGAAATTGGGGAAGGTCCGGTCCCCGATCAGCTCTATAGTAGAACCACCGGCTTCACTCCCAAGCTCCCTGGAGAGACGGGTGATCCCGGACAGGGACCAGAGAGTGATGCTAGGATTACTTTTACTTGAAAACAAAGATGCTGGGATGATGCCTGCAGCTGTTGGTATAACCACTTCAACCGGCTGAAGTGGTTAAGGTGACACTAAAGACTTGACTCACAATGCTAACTCTTAACAAACGCAGATATAGCAAGTTAAAAACGCTCCCCAAATGCTTTGTGTGGTTTTGGCTTGTTTTGATGCACATTAAAGGTGCATTAAAACTGCACCACAAACGCCTGTAATAATGTTAACATGCCTCAACCCCTCGCAAATGCCTGCCAGCTCGTTTGCGGAGCTTTACCATAGACTTGAATGGCAAGCGTTAAAAGGCTTCAATCTCCAGACTCCACATGAGGCTTCAATTTTGAAGCGAAGCTAACACTTCATGTTGTGATAACGTGCACAGCACTGTGTTCTGTCCATAGTATCATTTGCATAGGCAATTAAGGAGCGTTAAAAATGCCCCTGAAATTCCTGCTTTCACTGCCAGTGTGAACCTAGCCATAAGCTAAAAAAAATTCTATTCAAGTTAATAAACATGTTCTACTCATGGAGCCAGAGTCTCTTGCTGCTGCTCTGTCCTGTGTGAAGAGGAATAGAGGTGAGAGGAGGTGCAGCCATGCACACCTCTTTATCTCTCTTTCCCCTCAGACAGGGCAGGGGAAGGACAGAGAGCAATTTTATTTTTTTTTACCTTAATGCAAGTAATGCATTAAGGTAAAAAATGGCTTGGCTTTAGAACCAGTTTAATGTGGGAAACATTGGGACTTCCATTGCTGACCTCCTTGCTGTCAGGAAAGTCACATTAAAGTCAGAAGTCTTTATCTGTGTACTTGGTTTAATAAAGTGGTAGTAAAGTCCTGAAATCTAAAGTCTGCTGACAGGCAGGTTTTTATTTTTTTATAACAGAAGAGACCCTAGAAGTTTCTTCTGTCATAAATGTCCTCCCTGCCTGTCGGCGGGTATTGTGATCTGAGCCGCATATGTGTGGCTCAGATCCCATTTTTTGGCCTACTCTCTGTCCCTCAGTGATGTGACTCACATGCTCGGGAGTGATGTCACCTGCAGCCTGGCCAATCAAGCTGCTAAAGATGGGGAACCCGGAAGGAATACCGGGCGAAGATGGAAGCCGCTGGGGACCAGAGAGAACCGTGACAGCACAGCGCTGAAGGTCTCCGTCTGCAGGTAAGTCTGTTATAATGTACTAGCATGCAGTGCGTACTAGTACATTATGAACTAAACCTGCACTGGGGGCCATTTTTTAAAATGATGAACAAGAACTTACTACCACTTTTAGTATGAAAGTCAGAGGGCCAGCTTGAGAACTGGGCATTTAGCAATTGAAGTCAGCAACAGCTTCAGTGTTTCTCTCAGAAAAGTTTTCTATTAAATAGGGCTAACCATAGACATTAGATGACATGATCTGACTTGTTTGTGGGTTTTCCTGTCTGATGAAGCCCCATAAGTATGCATGTTATTGCTGCATAGACAGGCAGGGGAGTTGCTGCTAAACACATTCAGTACAGGTCTACCAAGAGAGAAGACACTGGTGATTATTCTATCGGAAACAATTGCTGTTTCCTTAAGTTGTCAACTGAGGATATATTTTAGCACATGCTGCTACCCATAAGACATAAGATTTTAGCCTGGTCTGGCCAAAAAATATCTTCTCATGTCTTCTGTATCTTTTTATGTGTATAGGTAATTTTTTATTTTATAGAGCAGTGAAGGACTGTCAGTTTTTTTTTTTTTTTTCTTGTAGATTCACTAAATCTGCCCTGGTGACAACTGTCACAAAGATAGTAACTGATAGGAAATAAAAATTTATAGTTGTCTCCAGAAAGAGAAAATGGGGCATCTTCCAATGGGGACACTTGTTCTGGTGACAGCTGTCTAAGAGGGGGATTTCCTTTTACCTTGTAGAGCTTTTCTCTAACTTCATGTTATGCTTCAGGACAAGAAGTGAAGGAAAATCTCCCTAACAGTACACGTACAACAGAAAATAAACACACAGGTCATGTTAACCCTTCCCTTCCCAGTCCAAAACCTACAGTTCAAGTATTCAAATGAAAATAAGGAATTTGGAAAATTTGAAGAATTTGTGCAGGCATACAAATATTTCCTAAATGACTTGCATATTAAAATATAAAATATGACTGGAAACATGGGAGTCTGACTACTTTCTGTAGTTACTAGAATGTTTCAGCTTCATTCTGGGGTGCAAGTCCTCAGAAAAGAACGTGGGGTACAGTGTTTCAAATTCTATACAGAGTTTTCTTAAAGTAGGATTCTTAATGCCAAATAACTAGAGCATTAGACAGTAAAGTTGGTTCAGTGTTTGCTTGCTTGTTTGATCATTTATAACTGTTTTGAAATCTTGTGTGAAATACTTATTTTACAGGAAGCAGAATACGGTGCACATGAGCAGATTGAGCTTTATGAGGATGTCATCTCTCCATCTGCAAATAATGGAGATGCACCTGAAGACAGAGACTACATGGATAATCTAGCAGCGTCGGTTTCAGATGATGTGGTAAAAGGATCATCTACAAATGCAGCATTTTCTTATCCTGGAAAAAGGATAGCACTGTACATAGGAAATTTAACATGGGTATGTAAAAATATATGAAGCTAAACTTTATGCGCAGATATATTTTATGTCATTTGTTATATAAATATGTACCCCTTTGATTTTTATTATCTTGAAACATTGTCTTTCATGTTGGTGTACAGATCTTTGTATTAGAATTACAGCCTGCTTATGTTTTTTTTTTTGTTTTGTTTTTTTTCTTTTGTTGCTTTGTTTGGATGTTGCTCAAACTGAGTCCTCATGCACACTGGACGTTTTTACAGCTGCTGTTTTTGGCTTTTGTTGTTTTTCTATAGCCAGTAAACTCCCCAGCATGTTATCCTATGTCCATGCACTGTAGTCAACGTTTTTTGGCTGGAAAACTGCTGTAACACTGCAAAACGCAGTAAAACGCTGCAAACCAGTGTTTTTTGGACTTTTTTTGACCAAGAAAAACCCGCCAAAACGCGCGGAAAAACGCCGCTAAACGCTAATGCAAAAAATGCTAAAAAAAATCTGAAAAACTAACATTTTTAACGTGACTTTACACAACTAATATTACCAGCATTGTCAAAACACCCAGTGTGCATGGAGCCTCAAGACACTTTTTTTCTGCTATGCACGTAAGCGTTACATTGGAACAGAACTGTTTGCAGTAGTAGGCTGGCTGCAGTGTCCATGAGCATATAGCAAAGTGGTCCCCGGACTGGCATTTCATGAGTAGCTGTGATAAGCCATTGACCACAGCCATTTATTAAAAAATGCGGTTTGCTGAAAAGGTATTTAGGTAAATTGGCAAGGTGTATTGAGGATGCCATAAAATAAGGCAAAACAGTTTTTGTGTAAGTTTGCTTATTCAGTTTGTGAAGTGATTTTAGTATATTTTTGATGACATTATCATTGTGATAAACATGTGCACAACTATCACAAGGCTTATTAAATTAGCAACACCATTTTTTGTTGTATTGGTCCTGTGCTTTCAGAAAATGCTGGCCTGAGGGATCTTTTACAAACTCAAATTGAAAAATTGGTCAGGGCCTAGCAGTGAAATGGTTAATTACACACAGACAGCATTTACTTGTGTAACACTTTTTTTGTCTCCCTTGCATTTAATGAAAGTTGGAAAAGAACTGGGGATAGTAAGTTAAAATTCTCCCTAATTATTTTTGAGCCCGAGTCTGGGTGGGTGGCATACTCTTTATATGTCTGGCCTGTTTTGAACAACAACATATTGACTCATAGATAAGGAAAATACTGGGACTTTACAATATACAGGTGAAACTCGAAAAATTAGAATATCGTGCAAAAGTTAATTTTTTTTCAGTAATGCAACTTAAAAGGTGAAACTAATATATGAGATAGGCTCATTACATGGAAAGCAAGATAGTTCAAGCCATGATTTGTCATAATTGTGATGAATATGGCTTACAGCTCATGAAAACCCCATATCCACAATCTCAGAAAATTGGAATATTGTGAAAAGGTGCAATATTCTAGGCTCAAAGTGTTCCACTCTAATGAGCTAATTTATCCATAACACCTGCAAAGGGTTCCTGAGCCTTTAAATGGTCTCTGTCTGGTTCAGTAGGAATCACAATCATGGGAAAGACTGCTGACCTGACAGTTGTGCAGAAAACCATCATTTACACCCTCCATAAGGAGGGAAAGCCTCAAAAGGTAATTGCAAAAGAAGTTGGATGCTCCCAAAGTGCTGTATCAAAGCACATTAATAGAAAGTTATGTGGAATGGAAAAGTGTGGAAGAAAAAGGTGCACAAGCAGCAGGGATGACCGCAGCCTGGAGAGGATTGTCAGGAAAAGGCCATTCAAAAGTGTTGGGGACTTTCACAAGGAGTGGACTGAGGCTGGAGTCAGTGCATCAAGAGCCACCACACACAGACAAATCCTGGACATGGGCTTCAAATGTCGTATTCCTCTTGTCAAGCCGCTCCTGAACAACAAACAACGTCAGAAGCGTCTTACCTTTGCTAAAGAAAAACAGACCTGGCCTGTTGCTCAGTGGTCCTCTTTTCTGATGAGAGCAACTTTTGCATCTCATTTGGAAACCAAGGACCCAGAGTATGGAGGAAGAATGGAGAGGCACACACTGCAAGATGCTTGAAGTCCAGTGTGACGTTTCCACAGTCTGTGTTGATTTGGGGAGCCATGTCATCTGCTGGTGTTGGTCCACTGTGCTTCATTAAGTCCAGGGTCAACGCAGCCGTCTACCAGGAGATTTTGGAGCACTTCATGCTTCCTTCCGCAGACGAGCTTTATGGGGATGCTGACTTCATTTTCCAACAGGACTTGGCACCTACCCACACTGCCAAAAGCACCAAAACCTGGTTCAATGACCGTGGGATTACTGTGCTTGATTGGCCAGCAAATTCGCCTGACCTGAACCCCATAGGGAATCTGGGGCATTGCCAAGGGAAAGATGAGACATGAGACTGAACAATGCAGAAGAGCTGCAGGCCGCTATTGAAGCATTCTGGTCTTCCATAACACCTCAGCAGCGCCACAGGCTGATAGCTTCCATGCCACGCTGCATTGAGGCAGTAATTGCTGCAAAAGGGACCCAAACCAAGTACTGAGTACATATGCATGCTTATAATTTTCAGAGGTCCGATATTGTTCTATATACAATCCTTGTTTTATTGATTGCATGTAATATTCTAATTTTCTGAGATTGTGCATTTGGGGTTTTCATGAGCTGTAAGCCATAATCATCACAATTATGACAAATCACGGCTTGAACTATCTTGCTTTGCATGTAATGAGTCTCATAGATTAGTTTCACCTTTTAAGTTGCATTACTGAAATAAATGAACTTTTGCACGATTTTCTAATTTTTTCGAGTTTCACCTGTATAATTGCTAGTGGTAAGTAAGAATCATAGGTGGTAATCACATAAGATGATCAAACATGATTGTGTCTCCAAGTACCAAAAAATAAAGGGTTCCCCATACCCATATAACATCCCTTGTGATAGCATGGGCTGTCACAGGTCCTCTTTCTAGAGAGATCTGTTAGACCCAAGATTGCTCCTGTGGCTTCCAAAGCACTGGTAATCATTCAGAAACACAAAGCTAAAACCGGAAGTGAGAAAATACTCATCACTTCCTGTTTCTTAGGCTATAGATATGATCAAGAACATTCTGGTCCTTGATCATCTCTATGGTCAGTCCTGGGAAGGATGGGAGAGGCATCAAAGAGCGGTGCGAGGAATGCTTTTACTTGAAAGAGCGTCGCCAGCTGAAAACAGATGCTGGAGCTCCCTCCCGCCGCCTGTAAAAGCGATCCAGCTGCTAATTAGCCACTAGGATCGCTGTTATAAAAAGAGCATCGCCAGACAAAAAAAAGCCAACTCAAGGACGTACACAGATTTCCTTGGATGGCAAGTGGTTAGTCACTTCAGCTCTTTATCCTGTATAGCTCCTATGGGCCAGAGTTGATTTACTTTTTTTTTTTTTTATTATTATTATTTTTAAACCACAAAACTTACTTTTCATGGTATTGTCTTGCAAAAACTAAAAGTACTACTGCACTTTTTTTTTTTTTTTAATGGGTGTTAGTTTAAAAAATAGTGTTATGGTAGATAAAAAAAAATAACATTGTATTATCTGTCCTGTTTAAAATGATGCTGAAATTATGTTTGTCTGTTCAGTGGACAACAGATGAAGATTTGACTGATGCTGTTCACTCTTTGGGTGTTAATGATATTTTGGAAATAAAATTCTATGAGAATCGGGCTAATGGCCAATCAAAAGGGTAAGTACAAAAGCTTGTTCATAAAATCAAGTCAATTCTTCAATATGTATTTATCAGACATAGTATGTACCAGGGTGGATTTGATTTAAATCACGATTTAAATCACTAGTCAGTAAGGCTTGATTTAAATCATAGTTTTCTACATAGACTAATTCTTGCTGGTATAACTTTAATATGCAAGTAGATGAAAATTTTTAGAATAACTTTTCATATTAGTTTTTTTATCCCCAGTTTAATAGGTTAATCAGTCATATTTGGACAACTTTTATGTTGTACTTAGGAAGGAGAAAAATAATCATTACCTTAATAACAATTTAAATAGATTTATTCAACTGAAACAATAACATTACAGCATATGTTATTTGCTTAAACAAACATCCATGTTTGTTAACTAATTTGGCTAAACAAAATATATATATTTTAAGAAACAGAGACTGTCAGCCCCTTCCTCCTCACACTTAGTTTCACTTTCTTCTTGTGCAGATTTATTCCACTCCAATCAGAAAAATATTGTTTCTATTCACTGAACTTCTTGAAACTTAGCACTGAAGGGGTTGATTCTGTATTCATAGGTTTGTAGAAGTTAGGATTAAGGTCTTTTTCTTAACTCTGTTCATGTTATAACATTTTTGCTGTGAAGAAGAGGCATGTGATCTCCGCTGAGTCAAATTCAGTTTTGAGAACTGCAAAAGTAAACCAAGCATCTGTGATAATATCTTGTAGGCAGAGAAACTGCCCAATAATCTTACAAAAACCTCTGGAAGAGAATGACATTGTGAATGGATTCATGGAATTTATTTACCCAAAAAATTTTACATATACAGCCTTATTCTACATAATTAAAAAACTAATCTTTAATGGATTAGATGGAATAACCTTTGGGTGGTAATATATTTTCCTCAATAAGCATTTTATTTAAAAAAAATCTGATTTAAATAAAAAAAAATCTGAGTTTTTTGATTTTTTTTTTAAAAAAGTCATTGATTTTTATCTACCCTGGTATGTACTGTGTGTAATTATTTTAAGACATAGCTATGAAGCTAGCAATGGACAGTTCTAGAAGCTGCGTTCATATGTTCTGCTAAACACAGTACTGCAGCATATTCTATATCTGCAATAGTTGAAGTATTTCTGTTTTCCTCTTTGTATGCAAAACAGCACCCTGCTTTGTTTGTAGTTTTGCAGTGCACCAGCCAGCTCCCCCCATTCATTTTATTGCAAGTTAAGTTTTACATCATTTGTAGCAGCACAGCGCATAGCTTCCCTGTGTTCACCATTATTATAAGGCATTACAACTGCTGTTGGATCAGCATTTCTGCTGGCACTACACCGATAGCCGACAACAGTGATGAATTGGACAGGGCAGTGACGTCACCCACTGTTTTCACTGTTCTGTCTGTTGTCAAGAGAAAGAAAGGTTGGTTGCATTTAGCAACAGTACTGCCAACAAACATTACCTGCTGTTTAAATTTTGCCATGGCACAACTGCACACTTAAGGCTTAGTGGTTGTGACTATAAAAATGCAGCTAAGCAATGTATTTTGTTTTTAATATTTTTAATTTTGTTTTTTAAAAATAAATACCAAAGAAAACCCTTGGCAGACCAAACTGCTTCTGGAAATACCCACCCCTCTCTGTGCAATAGCATTCTTACCTGATATTACTGTGAAGTGCATCAGTAGGAGATACAATACATACATAGTCAGGGCACCATATCAATACTTTGGATCAACAGAGATCTATCCCCTAACCTCTTTAAAGTAACATGAAAATGTCAGGATTACAAATAACGGTTTATGTCCTAGTCAAGGGAACATAAACTGGATAGCATTCCAGCCAGATCACAGAACACTGTTGTGTACAGCATGCTTTAGGGTCTAAAGGGACAGTGATTGATTTAAAGACTAGCTTTGGTTCATTTTAGGCACAATAAAGTTTCTGCATTTCAGCACTATTTTTTACCTTCATTTATTTATTGGTCTGCTTTGGTTCACTTTTAGCAACTCTTAGGCTACGTTCACACTAGCCTTGTGTGCAGGCGGCAGAGAGGCGTTTGGGAAGCGTTTTTACCGCTTCCCAAACGCCTCTGCCAATTCTGCACATTACAGCACATGGTGCTGTTCTAACAGGAGCGTTTGCGTCGCGTCGCGGCAAAACGGACGCCTCTGGTCGAGTCAGGAGGCTTTGAAGCCTCCTATTCTCGTCCATGGTGCCCAGCCGTGCGTTGCGACGCGGTTGCGGGGTGTTTGCGGAGCGGTAACACCACTCAAATGCATTATAGGCGTTTGTGGGGCGTTATTAACGCTCGGCAAACGCCTAGCAACCGCCGCTAAACCGCGCATGCGGCGTTTGCGGAGCGTTTGCGGAGCGTTAAAAACGCTCCGCAAACACCGGACCAACGCTTGCCAAACGCTATAGGGGCGTTTGGCAAGCGTTGGCAAAACAGCCTAGTGTGAACGAGCCCTTAGAGCTATTTAGTTAGTTAGTTAATCTTTATTACACATTCTGGTAAATTGCCATCACTTGCACATCAGAATAATCCAGATATCCAAGTATATACACATACATTAGTGCCTAACGTACCCCACCCACCCTGCCCCATATTTCCTCTGAAGTCTTTTAGGCCTCGTTTACATGGGCAGTTACCTTCATATGCCAGTTTTCAGTGGCAAGAATAATCAGACTCTTGTGGCTGGGACGACAAGTGTCAGTGGCGCAGTGGCGGCTGCTTAGTCCTGTACAGAGTAATGACAGACTGAGTAGAGTTGTTGCTGTTTGCACTTATCTGCACAACAAGTGGTTAAATGTGGGTAGGGATGGATGTCCTAGCCTGCATGCAGCTTTCTGTGTGCAGGTTTGCACATCTGCTTCTGACTTATTTTGACCTATTACTTTGTACAAGCTGACCGACTACTGCCATTCATGTACACCTGTCCTCCCAGCCAGAAGAACCCACTGATTTCTTGCCACTAGAATCTGGTGTAAGCAGGCAACTGCCACATGAAAGAGGCCTTTGTCCTTTTATTAGATCCCCCCCCCGTCTCCTAGTTATTTACCTTTCAATTCTTTTGAACAAATTAGGTTTTTAAAGAATATCTTGATTTCCAATATTAAGAAAATGTTGAATATAATGAAATTTAACAAAAATGGAAAGGGCATTGAAAAAGGGGGAATATCAAGAATATCCTGTATACATTGAGTTTGCTTTTCGTTGACTTCTTTAAGATGAACCTATTTAGTATGTGCATGAGTTTTCCTTATTTTTATGCTTTTATTTGCAAAGGTTTGCATTAATATGTGTTGGCTCAGAGTCTTCCTCTAAGAAACTCATGGATTTGTTGCCAAAAAGAGAGCTACATGGGCAGAATCCTGCTGTAACCCCTTGCAATAAGCAGTTCCTTTCTCAATTTGAATCACAGTCAAGAAAAAGTAAGTATCACATTTATCTGTAAATTAAAATGAAATTCCAGTCAAAATTGAAAATTTGCTCATGATTACTATGTTAAATAGAATTTTGATGATATACATTTTCAGACTTGCTGATTGTCTGTCTAGCATAGAAAGACAAATCTGAGGTAGACAATCGGCGGTCTTCTCTTGTTTACCGACAACGGTTTGCCTGCTGAAATGAATGTAGCAGCTCACAGGCACTTTCCAAAACTGTTGTTGGTCTCTGTTACAGAAATCCTGCAGAGGTTTGAGTAGCCCCGTCCCCATCACCCCCAGCCGTCAGAATGTGCAACCGCTCCTCTTTTCTTGGCCTGGAGCATTGACAGAGCAGCATTGTACGGCTGTAAATAATACTGCACTTGTAGATAGTATATAGGCTTTCCTTCCACTTTAACCACTTCCCAACTGCCCTATAGCAGAACTACTGCTACAGGGTGGCAGGGCTGCGCAAAATCACGTGTGCATATATACGTGATTTGGCATTTCTGGGTTGGGAGTGCACGCCGCCGTAACCATGCCACCGTTGACGGCTACAGCTGTTGATCACCGGGTCCCAGACGGAGATTCCCCGCTGACACCCGGCAATTGCTGAGGAACAGTGAAAGGGGAGAGGTCTGTGTGATCTTTCCCCTGTCAGCACCGACATATACTGCTATGCACAGCAATACAAAGCAGCAGTTTCCCTAGTAAATCACACACAGTAAAACTGCACACAATGTCAGTGCTTTTTATTAGCTGGGGATGTCAGTGGCAGATAGTTTCCCCCCCCCATTGTCAGAATGCTCGCCGAAGTCCTGCTAGAAGTCGCTGATGTTCACCATTACTAGTATATAAAAAATAAAAAATTCCAGTATATATAACCGCCACTTGTAGACGCTATAACTTTCATGTAAACCAATTTAATTTACATGTATTGGGATTTTTTTTTTTTTTTTTAGCAGACATGTAGCAGAATACATTTTGGCCTTAATTTATGACAAAATGTGATTATTTTTACTGGATATGTTTATAGCAAAAAGTAAAAATATATATATATTTTTTTTTTTTCAAAATTGTCAGTCTTTTTTTGTTTATAGCGCAAAAAATAAAAACCGCAGAGGCGATCAAATATGAACAAAAGAAAGCTCTATTTGTGGGGGGAAAAAAGGACATTTAATTTGGGTGCAGTGTTGCATGACTACGCAATTGTCAGTTAAAGTAAAGCAGCACTGTATCGCAAATGATAGCCTGATCAGAAAGGGGAGTAAATCCTCTGGAGGGCAAGTGGTTAATGTTATAAACATAATTATATATTCCATAGATTGTGTTTGACGTCACTATGAGATTGCTGCCTTTCCCCAGAATAAACAAGAAAGAAGCAATGGCTATAAACCCAATTCCATCTTCCTGCTGTCTTCCTGTTCCCTCTGATAGGACATTGAGGAAGAAGTTGACATCAGCGGGTAGCCCTACTTGGGCTACAGGTTGGTGCTTTTAAAAGGCTCCCGAGAGAAACTAAAACAGGTCTTACAGTTTCATGATGGACATTAACAGCTGTGATATGGAGGGGCAGTTCTTCTCTTGACTTTGCTAAGAATTGTTGGAATTTGCATATTAGAGCACTTTGGGTTCAGGGACACTACTGAAGATTTGTAAAGGTATGGTACAAGTACCCCTATATGCTTGTATTTGTCGTATAGCTAATTCATTATTCAGTGTGAGAGCTGTGTGCCAATCTCTTTGCGCGGAGAACCCACTAAGCCTTAAAACATAATGTTTATTGATACACAGCTAAAAATAACATATATTGGGTTCTATGCGCAGAGAGTTTGGCACATAGCTTTCACATTCAATTAAGCAGCCATTGATTAAAAGAGTATGCAAACCCAGCATTACATTTAACTGATATGCCTCCCTCTGCTTTCCTATTAATAACTGACCACACTAGCTATGCTAGTAACTGAGCCTGCTCTTTTCCAATGATGAGACCTGTTCTGACACCCCCCTTACCCCTTCACAGCCATTCACTGGGAAGTTTAGTGTACTGCTGTTTGTGATGTGATCACTGATTAAAAAAAAAAGGGGGGGGGGGAGTGCTTATAATGTGTGGTTTTGGTTTTTTTTATATGTATACACAAATGTTTTGCCTTGCCTTTCATTTCTATTGTAAACAGAATTTTACAAAGTGAAGTTTTACATATACTTTAACTCTATATAGTCATTCAAATTTGATACTTAGCTGACAAATGTACTTTGTAATCTTGTGACAAGGCTACATATGCCAGATTTTATACATTTTCTCTGACCTGTAAACAAAGTGATATTAAACTTATTGTCTCAATTTTTGCTGGCTCAACACCACAATGTGCGATCGGTGGGCAGAGCTAGCTGGAGACTTGGGATGCAAACTGCAACATAACTGCAGTACACTTCAATACAGTAGCAGAGAGGCTACCTGTGTCTGTACACAGGGAGTCATGATTGATAGGGGATTCCTCTTACCGATTTCATGCTCTTCTTGTAAAGGCAATCTGAACCATAAAACATGAGACCAGTAAACTAGGGAGAAGCATCCTATCGATCATGGCTCTTGCTAGAGCTATTCTGCATTCCTAACTTCAGAACCACCCCCAACAGCTGACATAAAATGTCTTACGGGCAACTCCAGTAGAGGAAAGTATAGTGAAAAGGAGAAATTGTGGAGCATGTGCAGGATGTAGACAATGCAGCAGCCACCGAATTGGCTGCTATTTTGACATTAAAATAAACGGCAGGATCAACCAGGTATTTAACTAAGTATATAAGATGGGGAAAGAAAAGACGGATGGTATAGATAAAGGACACCATTATAAATTCAAAAGCCAAAAGGAAAAGGGGAGCACCGTGGTTAAATGTTTAGAACTTCCACCTGGCAGCACTAGGATTGTTGGTTCAAATCCCAATCATGGCACTAGCTGCATGGAGTTTACAAGCTCTTCCTGTGCATTAGGGAGCTTAGATTGTATGCTTTTTTGAAGGTTAGGGACTGATGTGAATGTACAGTATATATGTAAAGCACTGCGTAAATTGACAGCGCTATATAAGTACCTGTAGTAATAATTAAAAAGTTTTTGGTGTAATGACACTTTAAACAAGGTTCAGCCATAGGAAAAAGTGGGCAGGTTTTGCTTACATTTGAAATGTTTTTAGATATAGATACTTTTTGTTTTATTTTAATTGTTGCAGCTACACAGGCTGGCCAAATGTCCGGAGAAGGAAAAGCTGGACCGCCTGGTATCAATGCTCGCTTACCATTTCCACCGGGTGGCAGAGGCAGGGGCCGGTTCCCAACCTCCGGTCCCGGTGACAGATTTCCAGGACCTACTGGATGGACCTGGGGGACCACCTCCACCTTTTGCAGGTAAGAATAATGTAATGCAGAATTTTACATTATAATATAAAGATACAACAGACTGCATTTTCTTTTTCCTATTGGTTAATAATGCATCCACAATGAAGTAACTATGTCCCTTACGTTTCTTAAAAAAAAAAAAAAATCCCAGTCTTATCCCGTAGGGTTCAACATTGAGTTGGTCCACCCTTTGCAGCTATAACAGCTTCAACTCTTCTGGGATGGCTGTCCACAAGGTTTAGGAGTATGTCTATGGGAATGTTTGACCATTCTTCCAGGAGCACATTTGTGAAGTCAGGCAGTGATGTTGGACGAGAAGGCCTGGCTCTCACTCTTCGTTCTAATTCATCCCAAAAGTTGTTCTGTCGGGTTGAGGTCAGAACTCTGTGCAGGCCAGTCATGTTCCTCCACCCCAAACTTGCTCATCCATGTCTTTATGGACCTTGCTTTGTGCACTGGTGTGCAGTTATGTTGGAAGAGGAAAAAGGGCCATCCTCAAACTGTTCTTACAAAGTTAGGAGCATGAAATTATGCAAAATGTCTTGGTATGCTGATGCCTTAAGAGTTCCCTTCACTGATACTAAGGGGCCAAGCCCAACCCCTGAAAAAAAACCCCACACCATACTCACCCCTCCACCAAATTTTACACTTGTCACAATGCAGTCAGGCAAGTACCGTTCTCCTGTCAACCGCCAAACCCAGACACGTCCATCGGATTGCCAGACAGAGAAACGTGATTGGTCACTTGCTATCAGCAATGGCATTGGCATCCAATCAGCGTGTTGCCCTGCCTCTGTCTCCTTGACCCATGTGACAGAGCACCGATCTGTTCGGTTGCCAGAAGAACCTTTGTTGCTGTGACCTGTCCAGCGTCTGGAGGAATCCATGAGCGGGCTATCTGCATGTCTCAGCCACGGTATTGCTACTTCTACAGTGTTTAGCCCTTGGTTCCAACCTACGTGACTTCTGATCTGTGCGGCTGCCGGAGGAGCCTGTCTCACAGTGACTTGTCCAGTGCCTGGGGGATCTAGTGATCAAGCTTCGTATATAGTGTACATGTAGTCATACCATCCATACCACCACATAAATCAGTCCCAGGAGACGGTGAGAGGACTTGGTAACATTACACCACAACGACCTGTTTTGAGATGTCATGCCATGCACAAGTGATTGTTTTTTGACTGCAATATTACATTTTTGTTATCTAATAATTTGGTAATAAAGGATACTGCACCAGAGCCTGTGCAAGCTCTGTTTTTTTTTTTCTGTCGCTTTACGTGGCCTACCACTTCATGGTTGAGTTGCTGTTGTTCCCAGCTGCTTCCACTTTGTTATAATACCACTGACAGTTGACCCTGGAATATTCAGTAGCAAGGAAATTTCACGGGGGCAACTTATCACGGTACCACGCTTGAATTCACTGAGCTCCTGAGAGCGACCCATTCTTTCAGAAATATTTGTAAAAGCAGTCTGCAAGCCTAGGTAGTTGATTTCATACACCTGTGGCCATGGGGGTGATTGGAACACCTGAATTCAATGATTTGGAGGGATGTGCCAATACTTTTGGCAGTGTGTGTCTATATATACACACACTCTTACAATATATCTGGTTTTTGTTTGTAATCCCATTGGGAAGAGTTTTCTTTGCTTCCTTTCTTTCATGCTTGTACAAGACATGCAAGGTCACCAGGACAGGAAAGCATTGCCTGCAATAAAAACTGTTTTTTAAGTTCTAACTGTTCTCCACACTAATTAATGTATTTTGTCCTAGTTGTGATTTTTCATCACTCCCTTTCCTCACAGGAAATTAGCGGATCTCTCCTAGTAAGGACACAAACGGCAGTAAATACCTAGCATAGGCTCGAGTTCTTGACCACTCCATTAAAGAAAGAAAACTGTCCGGAGCTGGTCTTTACATATGCAAATAAAGTGAAACAAACTGTTAGGCTGCCTCAATTTGTTTAAAGAAAAAAAAAAAAAAATCATATCACTTTACCCAAAAGGGAGCGTTCCGCTATTCGGGTCGGGCAGTGGGTATTGTGCGACGATCTGAGCGGATGTTCAATACCATGGAGGTCTAAGGAAGCTCAGCACTCCCCAGCCTACTCCATGTCAACCTTCTGTGCGCTTGGCACTTCCTCAGAAAATGGTTTTCAGTATCGACAGAATTGGCAGCGCTCCGTAAACAAAGCACATGCAAAACGCCATAGTGTAGCAAACTTTGTGCCTCCTTTATTTTAAAATGGTGAAACTTCCCACAAGACAAGTGTGATATACAGGTTTAAAACAAACCACCACTTCACTTGCTCCAGTGGATGTGATGGCTTTACTGCTAGGCTCCGCCCTACGTTTATTTCTTCTTAATGGACTGTTCCAGTGGCAATAGCAATGGCAGATTATGGATTACCTAAAATAAATTAGCTTCAGTGACGTCAGCACTTTGAAACACATGACTTGAAACAAACTTGCTAGTTTGGGGGAGTCGGAATGAAGTCAGAACTCAAAATCTGCATACTTGTTCCAAGTTAGAGATTTGGTAATGAAGTCCCATCATGACGGCGAAGAGGTCAACAATGTTGTCCTTTTTACTCCTACCACAGCTGGAGTTATTAAAGAAAACCAGCACCTGAATCTTTTTAGTAAGGGGTGGCATGGCAACAGAATACATTTTAGCATAAATCATAATAGAGAATTTGAATTTATAAGGACAAACCAATAAAGCTAACTTTTAGGTTGATGATTGATCGTTTTAATAAAGATTGTTATTGCCTTGCAAAGATACGTTTCTTTGCTGCATTTTATTTTTATTTTTTTTGTAACTTTTAATTTCAACTGAATGGTATGCCACAGAATATATTATCATATTGGTCATTCACAGAATGGCCAAGGGGAGGGTGTATAAACAACACTAACTCTTCTATGTACGATATTCTCAGTGCTCATATCCGCAGTAGCCAGAAGTATGGTGAGAGCTTTACTGTTCAGCATAAAGAAAAATATTATTAAAGGATAGAGCAGCCATCCAGCCATGGGATACACCTCTACAAGAGTAACTATTGTTTATATACCCAAAATTAGGAAAAAGCCTTTGCCTGGAGGTGTGTTTTACTTTAAAAATTCATATATTTTTAAGTATCTGTGTAATAACTACAGGCAATGGTTTGCTTGTATTAATACAGTACTGATGACTTCTGTCTTTATTTTATAGGTATGACTCCTCCAAGACCACCTATGTGTCCACCAGGCCCACCAGGACCCCCTGGTCCTCCTCCTCCAGGACAGCCACTTCCTCCACCTTTAACTGGACCCCCAAATCGTGGTGAACGTCCACCACCCCCCAGTTTTATTTCCTGGACAGCCATATGGTCAACCACCGCTAGTTCCTTTGCCACCTGGCCCCCCTCCTCCTGTATATGGGCCTCCACCTGGGCCCCCGCCTCCTCAACAAGGTCCACCACCACCCCCTGGTCCATTTCCTCCTCGTCCTCCAGGGCCTCCTATGGCTCTTGGACCACCTCCACATTTGCCAGGTCCACCCCCTGGAGGTCCCCCACCAGCTCCGCATGTAAATCCTAATTTCTTTCCTCCACCTGGTAATGCTGGTATGCCTACTTCAGATAGCCGTGGCCCACCACCTTCGGATCCATATGGTCGGCCACCTCCATACGACCGGGGAGATTATGGGCCACCTGGAAGGTTAGTCTGAATACTTATCAATTTAAAAATAAAATCATAATGGCATGTCTCTTTTAATGCCGAATATTATGTTTTGCAGGGATATGGATGCTGTGAGGACACCTTTAAGTGAAGCAGAATTTGAGGAAATCATGAACCGCAACAGGGCAATTTCTAGCAGTGCAATTTCCAGAGCAGTTTCTGATGCCAGTGCTGGTTGGTGTTCTATGTAAAATCTGTAACTGTTATTTTCTCCCAGTATTTAAGTTAAGTGTATGTTAGAAGTTATTTATTAAAGAATACAATGCATTTAACTAACATTAATGATTCCAATGTTGAGAACTGCAAGTTGGATAGGCAATATTCAAGTTCATAGTTTAGCAACCATTATTAAGGCATGTGTTGATGGGCAAACGCAACATGTTTTTAGCTTTATTTAGATTGCATTTGAGATTGGTTTGAAATGCTTCCTTAATGGATATATGACTTGCATTTGAGCGCCTTAGTTACAAGGATTAGCCAATGATATAACATAATACATCTGACATTTTTGAGGGATGCTTTACTATTAGGGGCCTGAAGGCTGGCAATTGACAGTTATGGCTTTTTAATTAAGCTTATACTGTTAAAAGAAAAAAGAAAAAAAAAAGTTGTGCATAGACCATTGTTTTTTGACACATATTCAACTATATATTATGTTCTAATGTTTTATGGTAAAGGCTTTTCTTGATTATACAGGACAGGGGTGATTGAACACTGGCAAACAGAAATGTAAGGACCCCTATATAACCCCTTCCCCCCCCCCCCCCCCCTCACACACTGACAGTTTTCCACAGGTTTTTTCCTAATGTCATTAGTTGATGATTTTTATTTTATTTATTTCTTTGCTCCAACTTGGCTACCTACCAGCCATTCTGGCTACTTATGCAGCTTCTGGATCGGTACCCTAGGCACGCTACTGGGACTGTATCTGGATCCTGCCAAAATTATGGAGACAGCGCGGCTGGCCTGTAAAGTTTTTAAAAAATGAGTGATTAAAATTGTGCGCTACCCAATGATTGAAATAATAAATTAGAGCTGCTGGAAACCCGTATAGTGTGTGCTCATCACATACAGAATACAAAACCAGTGTGTAGTGTTGCGTTACTCAAAAAACATCCACTCTAGTGAATACTAGAACATACCATATACATGAATAAATCCAGAAAAAATATTTGTGAAACACTCAACAGTAAAGGTAGAAATAATAAGGGGAGGAAGTAGAGTGGAGACATTGCTGGAAGTGGCAGCAGAGGCAATGGCACTTAGCTGGAAGGCTTTTTTTTCCCCCAATTACCGTGACGAGAGGTAATCATTGGAAGACGCCGGCAATAAATACACCTTGCGCATGTCACCTAGCTACTCCTGATGAAGTCACATGGTTCGTGACAATATGTTTGGAGGAGCTAGGTGACTAGCATGGTCGGAGATGCAGCTTTTGGTCATACTGTGGTTTTTACTACTGTCAAATATGAGTGCATTTTTAATAAACTACTTGTGGATTTTCAGAAACGTGCTGCACTATGGTCGCTGTATATGGTTCTGAGTTCTACCCACAGAGCCAGTCATGCTGCTAAAGGGTTAGCTTTGAGGATACAGTGGCCATAAAGAGAGGCGGATTATCTCCAGAGGAGAGGATATATTTTACCCCCATTATTAGGGGAGATGCCTGTTTGGCATGTTTCTCATATCAGTCAATGTATGAAGGTGAGGGTCCACCTACAGTTGTGTTCAAAATAATAGCAGTCAGACATCACTAACCTGATCAATCACTGTTTTTGGTAGAAATGATATTTCTACATGGCAAATAATTTACTAGCAGGTGTAGTAGAGTAATAGAAATCCAACAGACCCAACATTCATGACATGCATGCTGCTGATTCTGTGTAATTAAATAACTAATTGAAAGGGGCATGTTCAAAATAATAGCAGTGTGGAGTTCTATTAGTGAGGTAATTCATTCTTTGAAAAACAGGTGGCAATGATTGCCCTTATTTAAGTAAGGAAGGCAGCAAATGTTGTACATGCTGGTTACAGTGCATTTCTCTCTGAAATTCTGAGGAAAATGGGTCGTTCTAGACATTGTTCAGAAGAACAGCGTACCTTGATTAAAAAGTTGATTGAAGAAGTGCAGAAAATGATAGACTGCTCATCTAAAATGATGGCAAGTGCTTTAAAATGGCAACCAAAACCTGAAAGACGTGGAAGAAAGCGAAAAACTACCATTCGAATGGATAGAAGAATAGCCAAAATGGCAAGGACTCAGCCAACAATCAGCTCCAGGAAGATCAAAGAAGGTCTAAAGTTACCTGTGAGTACTGTTACAATTAGAAGACGCCTATGTGAAGCCAAGCTATTTGCAAGAAGCCCCCGCAAAGTCCCACTGTTGAAAAAAAGACATGTGCTGAAGAGGTTACAATTTGCTAAAGAGTACATTGACTGGCCTAAAGAGAAATGGCACAACATTTTGTGGACTGATGAAAGTAAGATTGTTCTTTTTGGGTCTAGTGGCCGGAGACAGTTTGTCAGACGATCCCCAAACACTGAATTCAAGCCACAGTACACTGTGAAGACAGTGAAGCATGGTTGCGCAAGCATCATGATATGGGGATGTTTCTCATACTACGGTGTTGGGCCTATTTATCGCATACCAGGGATCATGGATCAGTTTGAATACATTGGAATACTTGAAGAGGTCATGCTGCCTTATGCTGAAGAGGAAATGCCCTTGAAATGGGTGTTCCAACAAGACAACGACCCCAAACACACCAGTAAACGTGCAACATCTTGGTTCCAGACCAACAAGATTGACGTTATGGAGTGGCCAGCCCAATCCCCGGGATCTTAATCCAATAGAAAACTTGTGGGGTGACATCAAAAATGCAGTTTCTGAGGCAAAACCAAGAAATAGAGAAGAACTGTGGAATGTAGTCCAATCATCCTGGGCTGGAATACCTGTTCACAGGTGCCAGAAGTTGGTTGACTCCATGCAACACAGATGTACAGCAGTTCTCAAACAGTGCTTATACAACTAAATATTAATTAAGGGATTCAAAGGAAAGCAAAATCTTCAACCATTTTTCAGTTTATTTAGTGAATGTTTAAGTTTGTAAAGATGAATACAAACGCTGCTATTTTTTTGAACAGTCTAATATTCACTTTTCTTCAATTTTTTTTAGAGGAACAACACAAATTTGATCTATTTTTCTTCATGTTTTGATTTGGAATAGCATGTGTAGTGTTCCCAATGCATTTGTGTGTATGGAAATAAAAGTTATTAGAAGGATTTTGAGCTTTATTCACTTTTTTCAACACACTGCTATTATTTTGAACACAACTGTATATATTGTCACTGTGCTAATGCACATCGTTTAAAAACTTACAAGATCGGGATAGTGGGCTTACTCACCAGTAGGACAACGTGTCCTGCAAATGTTGAAGAGATTTCTTTTGGGACTATTGATTTCTACATTTTACTGTTGAGTGTTTCACAAATATTTTTTATTTTTTTTGGATTTATTCTTGTATATGATATGTTCTAGTGTTCACTAGAGTGAATGTTTTTTAGACAGCGCAACAATACACACTGGTTTTGGCCTGTAAAGTTGCTTTGGACATTGGATCTTGTGTTAGACGATCCTTCATGGCACGCTGTGCCAGTGCATGAACTTAGCCGCAGAGTGCTGTGGATTTACTACACTTCCCAAGTCCAGGATAGTGGCAGACTGCTTAGGTGTGACCCATTCACTGAAGACCCCTTTAGGGGGTATGCACTTCAAATGCAAGTGAAGTAGAGGCTCCCTTTTAGTTTCTCCTCTCTTGCTCACAGATGCTGCATTGGTTCCTGTTTGACACAGGACAGAGAAGAGTAGGTTTTATTGCATGACAAAAGGAAGAGGAAGTGCTTTCTTCTGATTCAGAATAATCTGTGCAGGAAGAAGCCATTTTGGCCATTCTGTCTTTAAAAGTCAAATATACCATTTATATGCTGGTGCATGAGGTGTATGTTGGACATGTTAACATACCAGTTCAACCACAAAATGAACAGGTTCATCGTCAAGTCCAGGAATCCACAAGCTTTTGTAGTGGATGCTCTGGTGACCCTGTGGGATCATTTTTGCTTTATCTGTGCTCTTCCTCCACTGAAGCTCCGGCCACAACTGCTCTGCAGGATTGAGGCAGAACGCATTCCAGTGATTCTTGTGTCATCAAGCTGCCCAGGTGGGTTTGGTACATGACATATTCTTACTCTTGGCGAACTTCCCTTGGCCTCTTCCGGATTGCATACTCCTTCTGTCTCAAGTCCCAGTCTACCATGCTGCTTCTTGGCCTAGCTGTCGAAGCCTGAATTCTGAGTGCTCATTTAACTCTTCGTAGACTGGAGAGGCTGTGGAATCTCAATCTGGTACTTGTGGCTTTTTAAAAGCCTCTTTTAGAACCGATCCGGGATATTCCCCTACACTAACAAGGTGGGGGTTTTATTGGGGGGGGGGGGGTTCTGATCGATTTCACTAGGCGAGTAATGGAGTTGGCGGCGTTGTCTTGAAGGGAACATTTCCTGGTCTCCACATTTCACCATAACCAGGATTTGGTCCTGCCATCTTTCTGTCTGGCTACTAAGTTCTCTGGGGAGACATCTTTTCTTTGTATGTGGTTTGATGTATGGGCTTTTCTGTTGGCTTTGGCCTCACTTAGGCTTTCGGATTCTTTTTATTCTTCCCCAAGGCTCTCACAGGGAAAGTGCTACTTCTCTTCCATCATCGTTAGGTGGATGCGTCAGGTCATTGTTCAAGCCTGTTACCTACAGGATAAGGTTACTCCTTTTCCTTTAAGTCCCAGTACATTAGGTCTGTGGGAGTTTTCTTTTGGGCCTTTCAGCATCAAGAATCTGTTTTCACATGGTCATCTGTTCACAAGTTTATTAAGTTTTACCAGGTGGAAGTTTAAGTCTCTGCTCATGCTGGCTTTGGCTGTAAGGTGCTACAAGCAGCTGTCTAGCTAGAGTCTTATACCCTTGTTTGTGGACTTGTGGGTAGTTTGTCATGTTAACCACTTTTTTTTTTTCTTTTGGATGTCTTGGTTGTCTAATGCCTCGTACACTCTATAAGAAAATCGTACGAAAATGTTCGTACGAGGACCGATCGTCCGATAATCGGATCGTTAGTACACAGCTTTTGAGAGCCAATCACGACAATTCGTACAACAATATCCGCAGGGACAAGCACAAAAATTTTTCTCGTACGATAACAGATCGTACGATTTTCGTTTAATCAGTACAATAGTTGTCTGGAAATACAATACAAATACAACGCAATACATGACATCCCTTTTAAAATTCTTTTCTTTTATTGGAGAATTTTCGTATCCTTAGTAACCTCTTCACTTTCGATGTGAGACTAGCAGGCGAAAAAAAACATCCGATGTTCTCATCGTGTGTACAGGGCATAAGAAAATATCTGTCTTTACTATATGATCAAGAAAACGGTAGAGGACACAGGACCCTCCCCGCTGTCTGTGTATCCTTATTGCATGCTAAAGAAACTGTCAGTGGAAAGGGTTATATTGAGATCCCTACAGTGTCCAATTACCTGAAGTAGAAACATATAACACAGTTGTCTAAGAATATGCCTCTGTGTCATGTACAGTAGTCCAAGGAACAGATTTTACAGGTAACTTTTTAAACCTAAATTGTATTGGCCGTTCCTTTTTTAATTGTGGATTTGATAGTCTACTATGGAAATAGAAAGTGCAGATCAAGTACCATGTGATTGCATGAGATTACTATTAAAAATATGGTAAAGTTTTGAATGCATACTGAATTCCTTCAGAAACTCAAGCTTGGAAAAGTATTGTGCTAGTCAGTTTGCTTTACTTTGTACACAAAAATAAATTACCTTTTTGTGATTTATATATATATATATATATTTTTTTTTTTTATTTCGCAGGCGATTATGGAAGTGCTATTGAAACTTTGGTGACAGCTATTTCTTTAATTAAACAGTCCAAAGTATCAGCTGATGATCGTTGCAAAGTACTCATCAGTTCTCTGCAGGACTGTCTTCATGGAATTGAATCAAAGTCTTATGGTTCAGGGTCTAGGTAATGTTTTCTGTCCTGATCGTTTCAGAATGTGTTTCACGTGTTTTTTTGTATAGAAAAAACTACACATGAAGTTTACATGTTGAAAAGCACTGAATGCCTTTCACATTTCCCTCACTGGCCATTAAGGAATAATTCTCTTCTCTCCTAGTTTCTATCTGGCTATGAGAGCATAATTATGACATGGCGAAATACAAAAGACTGCCAATAACTTCATCTAGTAAGACTTTTGTTTGGTTTCAGTCTTGAGGAGAGCAAGTAATGACCGATAGCCAGCCTAATTCTGAAGACCTGTGACTATACTGACTTTTAGCAGTGTTAACTTTTAGTGAAGCCTTGCCTTATTGTTCCTAGTATGTCATATTGGAAAGCCTATTTTGTGTTAAGAAGGAATTGTTTTAGTTTGTGAGGGGGAATTAATTGAGTGATTTCCTTTAGAAGACGTGAGCGTTCAAGAGAAAGGGACCACAGTAGGTCACGAGAAAAAAGCAGGCGTCACAAATCTCGCAGCCGAGATCGCCATGATGACTATTACCGGGAAAGAAGTCGCGAACGTGAGAGGCATCGTGATCGGGAACGGGATCGTGACAGGGAAAGAGACAGAGAGAGAGAGTATCGTCACCGTTAAGCAGGTGGGTATATTAAGAAAAGGAGCCAAAGGTATCATGAAGCAAAAAGTATTGTTGATTGTGAAAGATTTCATATCCGTATGTAACACTGTGAAGGTGATCACAGAAGAGGAGTCTTATCCAAAATCATTTGTATACATTGGTAAGTAGCTTGGTAAAACATGTATTATACTTAATACCAGACACTATAGAAATCTTTTTTTTAAGCAGCTCCCCAAGTTATCCTAAAGCCTCCTACTGGGATAAAGAAAGGTGTCTGCTGCCAGTAGCATCCATTCTTGGTCAGGTGCTGTTTACCTTTTGCACTCTTTAAAATGTGCTTTGTGGTACATGTTATAAACTTCATCACAGAACTGTTAATCACTGGTTGAGCCACATTCATGCCATAGGGTCAACAAACAAAATAAGTCTGTTTTCATTATGAGATGTCAGCGCTGACCCTTGAATCTATGTTTGGTTACAGCAACATCTACCTTTCTTTTCTTTTTGCTTCATAAACGTACCTCATTGTCTTGTGACAAGAAATAAGGCCCATACACACTTTTTTTTAAAATTTTTAGCTTAAAGAAAATCAATGAATATGCATCAAAACATAAATGTTGCAAAACGTGCTTTGCATTGTATGGGAATGTGCATTTACATGTGTCCATACATATTGACATGCATTTTGATACATTTCTATTGATTTTAATATAGATTTGGCAAAAACTGACAAGAATGAGCCCTCAATGAAATGTTAGGAGGCTTTAGGGTGAATTTGGGGTATTATGCTTAAATCCAACTCTGGGAAACCAAAAGTCCTCCCTTCACAGTGGGGCTGCACCTGCACTGTAGGGCTTAACTGCTTGTTTATATCTAGGTAACAGGAAAAGCACTTTTACTTATTCAATCCTCCACTGCTCTGGCAGTGGACTGTCCTCTCACATTCAGTGCAGGGTTTTGAGAGGTACTTAGATTGTCGGAGCATAGTGGAGAAGATGCTGCAGCTCCATTCTAGCGGCACAGAAGATCAGGTACATAAAATTGCTTTCCCGCTAGACATAGACAAGCAGTTAATCCTTGCATTGTGAGTGTAGCCCCACGGCAAGGGAGGAGCTTGTTTTCCAAGATTTCAGCTTTAACGTTTAATACTTTTATGTGCCAATTTCCACTCGGGTAAAAATGTGCTAAATAGCTATTTTTGGGCCCTTTTCCCTCACCAATATGATGGATAACTATTCATTCGCTTTTTTTTTTTTTAATTTTTTTTTTTTTTTTTTTTTTTTAAGTGTGTGCCTTGTTTATTTCAAGGATTGACTTGGAAGAGCTTTTATGCTCATTTTTGGGTTTGCAGTGCAGTTAAAATCCACCTCCCCACAACCAAAAACGATGTTTAATTAAACATGGCAAATGTTTAATTTGTAGTGTAACTGAAACATTATTGGTGGAGCATTGTATCCCTTTTTAAGAATAGTGGGATTAGTGTTATGCTATTACTGAAGTATGTAGTATTTTTTTTTTAGTAACATCCAAGTCTTTATTTTTTTTTTTTTTTGCTGTATGATGTTTTCACTATTTTGCAAAACTCGTTTTCAAGGTATTTAATGATGCTCAAAATGAGAAATTTAAGTGGTTTTCTTTTTTTTTTTTTATTATTTAAAGTGACCATTTTCTATTTTCACAATCAATAAATATTTATTGAAAAAATTTAAGGTACAAAGCATAGAATAAGAAACCTTTTTTGAAGTTGTCAGGATGTTAAATGGCTAAAACGTAGCTGCTGAGAATGTAGATACATCCAACAGGATACATAGCATACTAATAAACAAAACTTGTAGCCTTGAAATTAGAGTAGGTATCAGTGAGCCAGGTAAATTTACCGCAGACCATGAAACCATAAGCAAATCGGGACATCAAGTGTGAATAAACACAAGATCTGCTAAAAGGAAATAAGGGGGAAGGAAGGAAGGATGTCTGCAGTAGGGAGGTGGGAAAGAGCAGGAAAGGAAGTGAGCGTCAGGGTTGCCCAAAACTAACACTCCAAAGCTGGACTGCTATAATGAGGCATAGCTATCCATAGACTGTGACGGATGAGCATATTGTATCCACAGGGTTCATATCCAGGAGAATTTATTTTGCGTTGATGAAGAACCGTCATCATTGCTATTTTAAAAGACCGACCCCCCCCCCCCCCCCCCCCCCAGCAAAAAAAAATGATATAGATCAAACCTACCTGTCCTGCTGCCTGGGCCACTGAACTTCTATCTTAAAAAACTAAGCTTGCTGAAAAATCTTCAGCACATGACTCTTTGGGGTTTATTTACTAAAGCTGGAGAGTCCAAAATCAGACTCCCTTCTGCATAGAAACCAATCAGCTTCTAAACCTCAGCTTGTTCAATGAAGCTTTGGCAATGAAACCTGGAAGCTGATTGGTTTCTATGCAGAAGGGAGTCTGATTTTGGACTCTCCAGCTTTAGTAAATAAACCCCTTTGAGTCAGATTTCTTTATTGTCCTCTTGCACTCTTGGGTTCCATCCACCAAAACTACTGTGTTCTGTAGTGGTTGGGGTGGGGGTTAGCTGGCAATGTTCGTAAATTTTATTATAAACTTTCACATGTAAGTACAGTTCCCAAATCACTTCCCTGGAGCCCTTATGTGATAATAAAGTTGAGTAGTGAAGAAAGTGTAAAAAACAAAAATTTAGAGTAGCACTCCCCTCAACACCAATTCCTGCCTCCGGAAAGAATATTTAAAGGACAAGTTCACTTTTCGTGACATATTACACCCATATTCAGGATGTAACGTTGCTGTAGGACCCCCCCCCCCCCCGCCCCCCCCACTCGCCTGTTGTGAAGGCTAGCAGGGGGGATCTTTTCGACCCGATCTTGCTCCGCCCACCCAGCCGCGTCATTCATTTACAGTTTTTTGTGAATGGGAAACTATAAGTCCCGACAGCCTTTGTGGTTGTCGGCTTGCAGTTCTCCGTGAACTACCATGGCTCTTTTGAGCTCTGTGGTAGTTCATTGATTCTTCCTGTCAGTGTAAAACTGTTTGCCCATACGAGCAGGTGGATTACACTAACAGTCTACAAGAGACCTGCATAGCACCAGAAATCTGCTGATCAATGGTGCAATGCTTTCAAGGCTCCCAACAAAAAATTTTTTTTTTTTTATCTGCAAAAAATGTGCATTTATTATGTTTTGTTAAAAAGTGAACTTAACCTTTTAAAGAAGCCTGCCCCATAGACATGTTAACTTAGATGTATGCCTCGGGGGCCCCTGAATATGAAAACATTGATTGCACTACAAAGACTAGATATCAATGTGCGTGCCAGTGTGAGATCAATAATTCTTTGACCATCATTTCAGTTTAACTCTAAACTTATGATCTGTAAGGGTTTTAAATAGTTTCCTATGGAAAATTGGGTGTACCAAAGTTGGGCACCATTTTTTAGGGGACACACACAATTTTAAGGATTGATGTGTTGAGTATCTATGTACACGGCATAGCCAGATTTTTTTTAACCAAAATTTGGCTAATATAATGTGCACTTTTGTGCTCTAAAACTACCTTTTTTGTAATTGTACTGAAAATATGCATTTGATCAACCATTAAAGTTGCATGGCATAAAGAATTGGCAATGCCACCATTTAATTCTCCAGGTCCTCTTAAAAATAAATTTGGAGGTTTTAACTCCTCATCAGACCTACACTGTGCAAAAAAAGAGCAAAAATGACTGGCAGCAAAAGGGTTAAACCATAGCTCAACAGGGGACAAGCATCTGATACTTACAGAAATGGCTACAAGTTTACTTTAAAGGCAAGTATTGGTGAAACTAATAGAGAATGTAGGAGTAGATGCGTTACTTCAAGAAAATTTACATCATATTTTCTGTATTCAAAAGAGCTCTCAAAACTAACGTGTCAATAGGCAGGCTTTTTTTTTTAATGCAAAAGAAACACTATGTACTGTTTCTTCTGTAAAGGGTTCTTACCTGCCTTTTGGCGCAATTTCATTGTTTGCTGTGATGAATGAACTGTGCATGCACAGGAGTTATGTCAATCCGGCATAGCCAATCAAGATGGCCAAAGATTCCAAACCTGGAAGAAAACTGGTCAAAGAGATTGATGACGGCAAAGGAGTTCGCAGACATCCCATTGCTGGAGGGGAGGTGAGTATAGTTCCGCTGTAAGTTACAATTTTTGGACTTGTGCATAGATAAAGCTGTATCCACAGGGACAGGGGCCTCCAAACTTTCTAAACAAAGAGCCAGATTAATGTCCTTCAAACTTTAGAAGGGGGGGGGGGGTGCAGATTGTGGCCAGAGAGAGTAGAAAATGCCCCAGTGCTAATGGGAGTAAACCATGTCTCAGACTGGGTGGTGAATGGGAATAAAAAAATTACAGCTTTTGTGGAGGAAGATTAGTGACCCATCGTTTGGGTCAGTGGTAGAAGTAATGCCCCATTGTTGGTGTAATTAGTAAGAATAGTGCCCCAAGGGCCATATGAAGGCTGCATTCGGCCCCTACAGGCCAAAGTTTGCGGACCACTGCACTGGGATGTTAACTTTATTTTAGGCCTTTTTATCTTTATTTTAACCTGATAACACACTTCTGTCCTGGGTAATGTTTTTACGTGCTGTAACACTAGACATTGTGATGGCCAGGGAACAAATTTTCACTATGTATAAAGAAGCATGGGTGCAAAGTGTTGGGATCTGTAGTGTTGCCTTTCAGCCTTTATAAAAACGATGATGTGGAAATCTATCATCTGTTTTGCAGAAGTGTCCGATGTGTTTTTTTTTTTTTTTTTTTCCCCCCTCTATAGGCTGTTCTCAGGACTGGTTCAGGTCTGAAGGTCTTGGTTATGTCCGCTGCTGTTTTTAGTTACACTTAAAGCGAGCTCCACCCAAAAGGGGTAGTTTCGCTTTAAGGACTGCTTCCCCGCTCTCCATTAAGGATTGGCACCTTTGGGGGTTTTGCTGGTTTTGGCTCTTGACGT